ATTATTAGGAGAAAGGTGGAGATTTGCCTTTTAACAAACATGGTCCTCAGGTTAATATTCTCTAAATGAAAGGAAAAAGGCTGACCATGCTATCCTAAAACTTTAATAGTTTAGATCTGGGCCAGGAGTCTGGGCTTTTTAGGGGCTTGGTGGAGGGAGATTGGGCTGCCCCTGCCCAAATGTGATCTCTTTCCCAGGGATTTTGTGTACATAGTTTGTCACTTCAGGGATTTTCTATCTAGGCCAAGCTTTTCTTGCATCCTGATCTATTCTCAGGGCAAGGAATAAAGGGTGCAGAAGAATGGCAAAGTCTGCCTTTTCCCTTTCTTCTTCCTTCTCTGCTTTTCCTTTTCCTCTTTTTTCCTTCATTCATCAAACACATATTTCCTGTAGTGTGCTAGGTACAGGGGTCTCTGATCTCACACTAAATCAGAAGTTCAATAAAATAATGTGAATCTTCTCTAGCTTCAAAATTTAAGTAATTGGAATTGTAACAAAGTGTGTTCAGACTTTAACAAAGGACTTGATTTATGTTAGATCAAGGTCACTCAACAAAGTTGCCAGTTTTGTTTCCAAATGCAATGCCAAAGCAAACTCTCTTTGAATGATTGATTTATTGCATGTTAATCACAGAGAACTTAAAATTGTTTCCTGCCACCGGGACAACTTGCGGCAGGTGGAGGAGTGACCAGGACATTTCCAGGCCACTTTAAGTGCACGGGCACATGTTCAGCCTCAGCAGCTTTGATCTGACCGGGGTCTGTGCAAGGCCCTTGGCAGTGCAGGGCAAAGCCACCAGAGGACGGTTGGCTCTGGGCTCCGCACTCACTCCCCACAGGGAGCTCTGGCCCTGGACACGCATGATCAGGCGCCAGGACATGTGCTCCTCCCCCTGGGCAGGAGCATCTGACTGGTCATCCCTCTACTTCGGTCCATTGCTTCATTGGCCCCGGTAGGGAGCCGAGCAGAGGCACCGGGTCTCTGGAGGCTGACGATGGCTGCTGGCACATGAGCGCACAGCTGCCCAGGGAAGAAGCGGTCACTTGATGCACAGAAGCAGCAGGCACTGCCGTTCCAATGAGCCACAGGGCCTCAGCAAAGCCCCTGCAGGCAGTCAGGTGCTGGAGGTTTGACAGTGGAGGCGAGAGGCGCCGGCACTTGCGCCTGCCATCCCTGAACGCCTGGGCGCCGCGCCCGCCCACGCCCGGGGAGCGCTTCCCTAACCAGGCGCGATGCCAAGAGTCCCGTGTGCGTATTGTCGGGTGCGCTCCTCCCGGTGAGCCTGTGAGGCTGATGTTGTCATGAACCCACGTTGCAAACAAGGAAACTGGATCTCTTACTGCTTAAGTGACTTGTCACACCAACAGCCAGTCAAAGCAAATCAGGGGTTTGAACTCAGGTGCCTCTGACTGCTGCTTTTGCTAACACTCCGCCACCTTCTCTTATGTGATCCCATTCGCCTTTCTTAACACATTCACTGCCACACTAGGAAAAAAAACTTTTTTTTTTTCCTCCAGGCCACTGTGTTTGTGTTACAAAAATAGAATAAAAACTTGGAAGATGTTATTTTTTTATTGTTTTTTGTGTGTGTGCATGAGTTATATGCAACTTGAAAACTAGTTCTTGGGGCTCCCAAGGTGAAGAGATGTATGAGTTACACATGCTTCATGAGGCCCTGGGCTCAAAACTAGTGTGAGTTAAACACAACTCACATGGCAGTTAATGTGTTAAGGCTTCAAGTCAATCGTCACCTCCTCGGGAGAGTTTCTTGGATTTACCCTCCCGAGTCCCACAGCTGCCCTGGGGCAGCACGAGCTTGCTATGGCTACACTCTGCCCCTGATTCTGATACTCAAGAGGATCTGAACTCTTGAAAGACAAGTTCTGTGTATTTTGCCATGAGGATGACCAGCACCTAGCACACTACAGGAAGTATGCGTTTGATGAACAGAGGGGAAAAAGAGGAAAAAGAAAAGCAGAGAAAGAAGGAAGAAGAGAGGGAAAAGGCAGACTTTGCCATTCTTCTGTATGACCTAACCACAGCCATGTACCTAAAGAGAACATTCATGACTTCCATTGTATAAACTGCAAAATGAAAAGACAACTGAATGTGGCCTGAATTTTTCTGTGGGGTGAAAATGTATAGGACTTGTATCACCACATGGACGCACAGGAATGAAGTATCATATACCGATCCACGGAAAGTAACATGTCAGAGGGGAAAAAGGCTTTGTTTTCAATCAGTGGCCAACTTCTGGATTTTGAATTGAACACCTTTTAAGAGTAATAACTTGAGATTTACATCATTAATGATCACATTTTCTTTACCTTGGACTAAGATAATAAAAATATTTATGTAAAGAAAAATTGGTCCGTTTTCTAATCTAATAAAAATGTGGAATGTCACCCCAGCACAAAGCACGGTGCCAACAGGCACTCAATGAATTCCTGCTGAGAGCGTGCATAAATGCACAACCGTGCGACCCCTCGAGGGAGTGAATCTGTCTTAACATCTGTAGTGTATAAAACACCGGGACAGTCGAACTGGAGGTGGAAGCGGAGAACAAGATACAGTTGAGCTCCCTACAATTGCCAAATAGTAAGATAGCACCGATTACTACACTAAAAAGTGACTTTTGAAGAAAAGAAGGAAAACTAAGAGATGCTGAAGATAGACCGAGAGACTCCAGTAAACTCCCAGTGACACCTCTAGAAGAAGACGAGAAAGAGACTGACAGAGAAGTGACAGTCTAGGAGCTAATGATTGTTTTCCAACTTAAAAAGTCTACATCTTCTCTAGTGAACTCAATCTGAGTTTAGAGTGAGTTTTAAAAAACCTGTACTGGGACATAACATAGTAAAATTTAGAACACCAAAGCAAAGAAAAAAAAAAAGATTGTCAAAAATTAAAAAGGGATATCTGCTAGAATAACACATTTATCACTGACAAAATTGAGGAAGAAATCAAGACCTACAAATAACATCTTCACAGTGCTGAGGGAGAATAAATGCAGCATAGAATTACGAGGGCTGTCAGGAAAGTATCCAGCCACTGCTAATGTAATGAGAACGGTCGGTGTGACATCCATGTACCCTGGCAGCCAGGGAGAGTGGACTGTGACGTGCACACGTGAACAATGGCGCCCTCACTGCGCTAGTCAGTGGGGCGCTAGATGTTGAGCGAGCACGTGTGCTGTGTGGCTGCCGCACCCTAAATGGCTGAGTAGAGCAAGGAATCGGGATCACATTTTGCGTTAAGCTTGAGCATTCCTCCATGGAAACCAACCGAATGATTCGGAAGGCTTTCAGGGACAATGCAATGAGTTCAGTGCAAATGAAAGTGTAGCACGAGCGCTTCAAAGATGGTAGAGAATCTGTTGAAAGTGACCCATGTTCTGGAAGGTCTGAAACAAGCAGAGCACCTTAGAGCATATGAGCTGCAGTCAACAAAGACCAGCGACTGACAGCGCAAGAACTGGAAGCAGATCTGGGGACTCCAAAAGCTACTGTGTCTGAGATTTTGACTCAGGATCTTGGCACTCAACATGCCATGGCAACATGGTTCCATGGCTTCTGCTACCAGAGCGGAGGGAACATCATGCGGCATTTGCTAATGACTTGCTTCAGACCGCTTCCAATGAACCAGATTTCCTCAAGAAGGTCATAACGGGAGACGAATCGTGGGTCTACGGCCGTGATCCGGAAACGGAGGCCAGTCGTCCCGGTGGAAATGGCCTGGTTCTCCACAACTGAAGAAGGCCCCGTCCTGCAAAGTCTCAGCAAGAGCAAGACCATGTTAACTGTGTTTTTTTTTTTAATTGGGAAGGTGTTGTCCATCACGAGTATGCTCCTCCAGGCCAAACAATTGATGAGGAGGACTGCCTCAGTGTCCCTTGTCAGCTGACAGATGCAGTACGACAAAACCGGCTGTAGCTACGGGCAACTGGCGACTGGCAGCTCCATTGCGACAAGGCGCCCGCCATGCATCACGTCTCATGCAGGGTTTTTTGGCAAAACATCAAATCACCCAGGTGACTCAGCACCCCCTGCAGCCCAAATTTGGCACCCTGTGACTTCTGGCTTTTTGCAGAACTTGCAAAATCACCTTTGAAAGGCAAGAGATTTCAGACAGTCGACGAAATTCAGGAAAATAATATGAGGCAGCTGATGGTGATTCCAGCAAAGGATTTTACAGAGAGTTTTGAGCAGTGGAAGAGACACTGGGAGAACCGTGTGAGGTTCCAAGGTGCCTACTTTGAAGGGGACTGAGGTGTCATTATCCTAAGTACAATGTTTGTTGTATCTTGCATCTTTGTCAGTAAATGTCTCCATTTTTCATGCTACATGGCTGCATCCTTTTCGGACAGACCTCATATATGCTAATCTATGTCCATTCAAATTTATGATATAATAAAGACATTTTCAATCTTAAAAATTCATGTTTATCAATATTTTACATTTAAAGGGGAGCTATATATTATTTTAAAAGGGAAAATGCACCTGAAGGCATGGTGTGGGATTAAAGAAACTATGCTCAGCAAAGACCTTAGTAACATATATGTGTTAAGATAATTAAGTCTACATTTTATTTTTATGCATCAAGGCTTGAGGTTATAATTCTAGACAACATAAGCAGGCCAAGGGGGTTCTTTACTTTAGTTGATAGCTAAAAAATGCCATGCTCCTTGTCCTATTGTGGAAGGAGAATATAAGGTCTAAATAATGTCAGACATTGCTGAAGAAAATTTAGAATGAACCGTATTTATTAAAGCATTGATGGCATTAATTAAAAGGAGAATAAGGAAGCTGTTTTAATATAATGGAAAGTAATATTAGAAAAAATAAGGAAAATCATTTAGAAAATGAAGAAAAAAGAAGGAAGGAGGAAAGAAGGAAGGGAGGGAGGGAGGGAGGGAGGGAGGAAGGAAGGAAGGAAGGAGAAGAAGAAGGAAGGAAGGGAGGGAGGGAGGGAGGGAGGGAGGAAAAAAAACTCTACTGTTAAAAATTATCATTTTTTAAAGCCTTCCAAACATTCCTTGCCAGGGGTTGCTGACTTCCTCATCTCACCAGCCCTGCCCTGCAAGGAAGACGCCAGATCTCACTGCCCAGCCTCCCTTGCAGCTCACGTGCAAGCAAGTGACCCTGGCTCCACCAATCAGCATATTTGATGGACGTGACAAAGGCTTCTCTCCAGAAACCAGAGAATCTGAGGAACAGCTACCTCGCAGAGTCAACTGTGGTGATGACGCAGGCAGAGACCCTCCACCAAGGCCAGCCGCGGCCCCCACACCCAGCAGCCCCAGGGGCCCCGCAGGGCTGGGCTGCACCCCAAGGTGCAGTGAGCCTCCCACTGCAGAGACCCGCTGTGTCCTGTGGGTGCTGCTCGGAGGGCACCGGCTCACAGCATGGCTCTCTGGCCTCCGCGACACACTCTGAGGGTCTCTCTTACCTCTTCATAATTATATCTTCTGCTTAAACTGTTGAGACTTGATTTGTCATGTCTGACCAACAGCCAGGAATGGCAGATGCTTGGTGAAGAAAACGGTCTCACCATCGTAACATCATGGTTGACTCATGCAGGAGTCGCCGACAGGTGCGAAAACGAAGGAGGGAAAGTCTGATAAATGATAAACAGCTACACAGATTCAAAGTCATTTGTGAATTACGGAGGGAATTACGACTCTAGGATGGACTGACACAAGCTTACCCACGTAATCTGAGTTAATGTCCTTAACGAGGGACACACTGACATCAGATGCCTCTGCATGTGACAGACGCCCTGAGAGGGAAACACCACTTCTTTAGTATTCCTGCCAAAAAAACAAGAAAGAAACATAACCTCATAACCTGAATTCAATCAGGAGGAAACATGCAACAAACCCGAATTGAGGGACATTCTGCAGAGTAATTGGGCTGAATTCTTAAAGTCAAAATCATACAAGGTGACGGCTGAGTACATTTTCTGGATTAAAGGAGACTGACTTGCCTCGGCAAGAACTCAGGCGATGCTGGGTTCTGAATTGGATCCTGGCACATAAAAAGGAAATGTAGCTACTAGAAACATTACTGGGAAAATTAATTAGATTTGAATATGAACTATGGATTAAAGGATAGTATTGTATCAAGGTTACATTTCCCGATTTTGATTGATGTTCTGTGGTATGTAAAAGCCCTTTGTCTAGCTGAGAAGAGAGGTACTAAGGTCATCAGAAAATGTCTCCCAGACATATCGTTAATTTAATTCCACTCCTAGTTGAGAATTTTATCCTGAGAATCTTTTACCTAATGGAAATCCTGGAGATGAGAAACAATTTTATACCCCAAGGTTGAAAATTCTGGCTCTTCCATATTCCCTCTAAATTCTGATTGTAAAATGCCCCATTATTCGTTTAGTTCATTTTTCTTCTTGTAATACCTTCTCGTACTTAGCCAGTAAGAGCCAGCTGAGCATTCAGCATTCTGCCTTAAAATGCAATTGTTCAAATCCCAAAGTTTATTAGGTACATTTGCTATCTCCCAAGTTACCACACATGATAGTTTTACCAATTGTTCCACCACTACATAACATGGCCACCATAACTCCAGTCTGCTAAATATTCTTCCCTTCTCAAACCTTGGCCCACCACCCAGCCCCAGTCCAAGGACCGGCATTTTACATTTGTGTTATGGCAATGCCAGTATCCCAGTTCTATGCAGCAATTTCTGCATTGGTTACCTGTTGTCATGGTAATGATGTTTTGCAAACTACCCTAAAATGCAGTGCCTTAAAACAATGTGCATTTATTACTGCTTATGCTCCAGGGGTCAGCTGGGCAGTTTTACTAATCTCACCTGGGCCTCTGTGATCAGCTGCAGGTCCGGGGATTGCCTTTGCCAATGGAGGCCGAACTATAGTGCATGTTTGGGGTTAGCTGCTGTTGCCAGTTTATGGTGGTTTCAGCTGTAAGGGCTAATATGCCTGGGCTCTTGCCCACTGGCCTCCCATCCCTCAATCCCTGGGTGCATGTGCTCACAGTAAATGCAGAGATCCAAACCACAGCAAGCTCAGTCATGCAAAAGGGCACCTGGAGATTCAAATGTACTGTGAAGTCCTGTCTTACATCCGGTTGGTCAAGTAAGTCCCATGTCTGGGTCCAAAGCAGAGTTGGATGAAGGCGAAGTCATAGAGGAGTGGACACAGGGACCATCTTTGGATCCTTCTGCAGCCACTGACCACAGAGCGTCACGCCGGTTTGCAGTGAAGGAATCCTCAAAAATCAGTGGGATCCGTCTGATCATTCCCGTAAGTAGTGCGAGGTAAATCTGACTTCTGTGCTTTGAACATTGACTTTGTCCTCTACCTCATACCAAAGACAAAAATTAATTTAACTGGCCCACAGAATCAGATGTGCAAGATAAAACAAGAAAGCTTCCAGACACACCCGCTGATTTAGTCCCAACCTTATCGTGGGAATTGCCTTTGGAAAACACAGAATAGTTCATAAAAGCCTCCTCCTGAGTCATGTGACAATGGTCCGACTCTCTTCAAAGTTCATTTCAATCCTTTCATGGTAGTCCTCAAAGACCTTCTAAATCTCACCTCACCTGGAGCTACATCCCCAAAGTTAACGCCTCCCCTGGGGGCGCCGTGAGCCACTCCCACCAGAAAGCACCTTTTTTTTTTTCCAGGAAGGGGCTCTGCCCGGCCCCCCTCCCTCTGCTGGTGGCTCTGTTCCCGGTGGCCTCTTTAATTGGTGAAACATAAGCTGTGATGTCAGGACATACTCAAAAGTATTAGGCTACCGAAACTTTCCAGGGTTCCCCAGTCACAGGCAAAAATAACCCCCTCTCTTCTTGTCCTCCTGTAATTTTATTCAGAGTCAGGCTGCTCCCTGCCGTGCACAGCTCTGGGCAAAACCCAGTGTGGCCCTGCGTGGCAGCCCACCTCCCACTGCAGAGCCAGCGCAGACTTTAGAGAGGAGAAGTTGATGAAAGAGAGAGAGAGAAAGGCAGGGGAGGGGAGGAAATTTGAGATCCTACAAGGCCTCAGAGCCAAAAAGTGTGTAAATCAATTCCTACTAAAAACAAAGGAGCTACTACAATGAGAGGCTACTGCGCTAAACCTCAATCACTGTTATGGCATAGCAGGAGTGTGCTTCATTTGGGTCATTGCAATCGTTGTTGCTTTTGTTGCAGACATCCATTTTACAATTCTGGGTGTCCATTTACTTATCTTTTGTAAAAATAAAATATATAGCACGTATGTGTGTGTGCATGTGTGTGCGTGTATGTATGTGTGTGTGTGCGTGTGTGTGTGTGTGTGTGCTTGTGGGGAGGGGAGGGAGAGAGAGAGTTTTGAGAAAATGGAGAATCGAGGTTACCATCTGGATTTGGGAAAGACGGAAGCTTATTCTAAGGCCCTGTTGACATTTATTTCACAGTGACAACCACATTACTCCCCACTCTTACCTTTGGCGATTGCTGGGGTGGGGGGGGAGGGGAGGAAGAAAAGATGCTACGTAGCTTCAAATAGACCAAGTAATTTCAATTCCAGTAACTCTTTAAACTAGGTTTTCCACTGTGCCATGCTTTGGAGGTTTGTGTCCCTCCCGGATTCATGTTGACACGTAACCCCTGATGCAATAGTAGGAAGAGGTAGCGCCTCTGGGGGGTGATTAGGACGTGAGGGCCCCTCCCTCATAAATGCAATTAGTGCCTCACAAAAGGCTTGAGGGAGCCAGTTCGACCCTTTTTGTCCCCTCGGCTGGGCGAAGACACAGCCAGAGGGTGCCACCTTTGAGGGCCAGGGGGCCTTCCCCAGACACCAAGTCTGCGGGCACTTTGATCTTGGACTTCCCAGCCTCAAAACTGCGAGAAATACATTTCTATTATTTATAAATTACCCAGTCCAAGGCATTTTCTGTAGCGATGTGAAAGGACTGAGATACACTGAGTCTTTTCATTGTCATTAAGGAGAAAAAGTCCTTTAAACGCAGCAGAGAGTGACTATCCAGTGACCTTTCTAGACCTCGAGGCTGAGGTTGGCTGGATAGCCCAAAGGAACGGCTTTGAACCAACATGAGCTTTCATGTTCAGGACACACCCAGAGAAGCCTCTTAGGTTTGCAACTGTTACACTTTATCAACCCCAGGCAGCTGAACTAAGTAACACCGTTTCTGTCTGTTGCTTAGAATAAACTGAGATGTATTTCCTGGAATACTGCTAGTCTCGAAGTGATTTTCCAGGCAGCCCATGCCAAGGTCTATTTATTTTTAACGAAGTCTGCATGGTATTGACATTTTGCCTTCCTAATAGGATATTTTAGGACCTGTTTTATTTTTTCCTTTGTACATGATTTAAACAGACTGGAATCACAGTACATTAGAATCTATGGTAATTTCTGTATGAATTAGACTGAGGTTTCCCATACCAGCCTCACTTGTTACGATTGAAGTACATGCTTCTTTACCAATCAAAGGTTCAGATTCCTTTACTCTGTAACTACTCGGTTTGACTGGCGATTGGTTTGATGGTACAGAAGCCACCTCCGGTGAGCGAGCACATGGTGGATTTCTGCAGAGCAGCGAAGGAAGTGTAGCTTCTGAGAGCAGGATCGGCCACCTTGATTTGCAGAGATCTTTCGTCCTCATGACCCCCCGGCCCCTTCTTTACTTTTAGGTGCACTTCAGCCACAACCTAAAGACGACTTAGAACTCAAATAAAACAGAGCTTTGGTGAAGTTGTTAGTGGAAGGGATAATACCTTATAATTTGCACTCGGGCACAATGCTGACTTCCTGGAAACTGTGCAGAGGGATTCTATTTATGAGATGCAAGCAAGTGTTGCCTAAAAACATCCCATTGTGCTTGGAGGATGTATCCTTCTTCTAAACTGATATTTGAATTTTTTTTTTTTTTGAGACAGAGTCTCATTGTGTTGCCCAGGCTAGAGTGAGTGCCGTGGTGTCAGCTTAGCTCACAGCAACCTCAAACTCCTGGGATTAAGCGATCCTCCTGCCTCAGCCTCCCGGGTAGCTGGAACTACAGGCATGCACCACCGTGCCCGGCTAATTTTTTCTATATATATTAGTTGGCCAATTAATTTCTTTCTATTTATAGTAGAGACGGGGTCTCGCTCTTGCTCAGGCTAGTTTCAAACTCCTGACCTCGAGCAATCTGCCTGCCTCGGCCTCCCAGAGTGCTAGGATTACAGGCGTGAGCCACCACGCCCGGCCTGATATTTGAATTTTTAGGGTAGCTGTTTCAGAGGGTCGCAGATAATTCATACTCAGGAATCTGAAATCTACCTTGGCCTTCACATCCAGTTAAATGCAATGGGATGTAGTCACTTGATGGTGTTGTAGAGTCAGTGAATATGTACACAGTGCCCCAAAGCCTAGAATCCGATGGAGAAAAGGAGTTGGGTGGACAGAAGCTTGATTGGTAGGACAGACCCATCACCACGTGACCTCAGGAAGGCTTCGAGCATCACTCCAACATAGATCCCACATTCTACGAAAGAAACAGTCATAATTGTTCCAACTTTATCTCCTGCAGACTTGATAAAGGATAATTCTACAAAAGACGCACATCTTCCTGAGGGTCTCAGATAAAAACTAACTATAGTATAGAGTGTTCTGAATTTTGAAAATCCAAGCAAATACAGACTTTATACTTCATACTACTCTGATGTGGAATGAGAAAGGGGTTGAAGTGATGTTTCAACTTACCATATATAATCACATGAACAGTATGATATAAATGGTAATTCTAAAGTGCTAGATTTAAAAAAAAACATTTAAAGGGTAATTTTGAAATACTCTAGAACAGGTATAAGGCCATGTATGTGAAGCCTCACCTCTCCCAATTTCTTGCAGCCAGTGTAGCAAGGGAAAGACTGTAAAACGTATGGAATATAAAGAGGTCCCAGTTACATGTCTGAAATACGGACCAGCTGTCCCAGAAGACTGTGCAGGTGCAACCTACTTGCTCCGAGGCGCCCTCTGTAGAAAGCAGCAGTGCCCCCGCCCCCTGCTTTTCCCCCAGCCCAAGCGCAGCTCTCAGCCCGAGTGTCTAAGGACCAGGTCAGAGCTGAGCGAGCAGAAGTTTTTCTGGGTCATGTTCACCCAGGGTTAGGAGAGCGTGAACTCGCTCTGTAACCAAAAGAGTGACATCAGTTACTAATGACGTCATTGATAAATGTAAGCAAACTTTTGAAAAGTCCTCATGACCTCAAAGAGACTATGAATTTAGGCGGAAAACAGCAAAACCACCATACCAAGCCTGCCACGAGCAAGAAACAATATTAAAGAAACAATGCACTCCGTGAAATTAAAAGGTATTTCCAAATCTTAAAGTGTAATAAAAGCAGTAAATAACATAAAATCTACCACAGAAAATGTAATTAGTTTGGAAAGTAGATTTAAAGGCTTTCTATTATTTAGGGAAGTGATGGAGCAGTTTTTATGTTGCGCAACGATTATCACTGTTTGAAAGAGGCTACCTGTGTTGAGGAAGATTCTGAGGTTCGGTCTGAGTACAGCAAAGAAGGATGCTGCGATCAATTAGAGATGCCTTCAGTGGCATAAATCCTGAATTTCAATTAAAAATTAGTAAGGAAACAGTAACATGAAAAAATAATAAAACAGGTGTCTACTTGGAGTAGACCATTTTCCTGCAAAGAAACCAGAATCAGATTGGCTTAGATGTCTGTAGAGTGAGCCTTATATAACTGTAAGAGAACATTATTATAACTCTTTTTTTATTATTTTATTTATTTATTTTATTTCAGCATATTATGGGGGTACAAATCTCAAGGTTGCATATATTGCCCATGCTGCCCCTACCGAGTCAGAGCTTCTCTTGAGTTCAATACTCAGCCAACTCCCTTACATATGCAACAGCCAAAATTATTAAGCTTAAAAATTAAATTAATTAAATGTTATAGAAAGTACATAAATCAAAACCTCTTTTCACAAATTAACTTTCTAAAAGTAAACCAGGATAAAGAAATCAAAAAATA